ATTTTTTTTTCTCAAAGCGGTGAAAACGGATGAAACCAAAAGAAAAATGGGAAAGACATTAAAACTGCACACCTGAGTGAGATCAATGAATGAAGAATGACAAACGTTTATCACTAAACCTAGCGCACACCACACAAAATGTTCTTTGTATACGTGCATATTCCATTTTCTAGTTGCTTTTTCGTCTTTTTCGTTCATCTTATGGCTCGTTTTTTCCTACCTTCGGGCCTGAAATACGCACATTTCATTTGCCGGGCGAACAAATGCGATGATAAATCGATTGCACGAAGTTCACATGGCTGTATGTGTGTGTGTGTGTCGTTGTGTTCGGCATCGATTTGTCTTTTGGCATTGCAATGCTCTCAAAGCCCGAAAACAGGATGAACAAGAAACGAACATGACAATGTGTCACTCGGCCTCGGTGTGCGATGGTTAGACAAGGACCGTTCGCACAAGATGAAAAGGAAGGATTGATTGAGGATAATGAAAAATGACAACAAAATGATGATGGCAACGTTGATTTCAAAGCCATGCACCCACCTAACATACACACACAGTGTGTATATGTGTATGTATGTTTGAAATAATGTGTTTTCTTCGCTTCTCTCGTTCGCATTCAATCACATAGATCTTCTTTTTTTCCGGATCATTCTTTTCATTCTTTCTGCCGGTGATTTACTCATTCGCTTTTTTTTCTATTCGAAAAAAACATGAAAAATAATTGTTGCCGAAAAATGTACACCTGGACGGATGTGACCAATAGGTTTGTCATAGCAGTAAATGAAATCTATCACCTTGTGTACAAAATCGATGCGCTCCTTTTGTGTTCGCATTTCATTCTTCGGATTATTATCTCGGGCGACACATCATTTTTTGTGAACTCTTTTTTTTTCTCGACAAGACATTTAAATTTGATCGGCTTGCGAATGTGGAGCTGAAAGAATTGCAGTTTCATTATTAAATAAAAATAACTAATTTAACTAATATTCGCTTTGGAAATCAAATTTCAATAAATGAATTTGATGAGTGATAAAATGGGAGACTACTGACGAAATGCATTTTCATTTAACATTTCCATTTCTTCAAAGTCAAATGAAACTATTCTTGCTAAACAAGCATTTTGATTCAGAAAACTCAATGGCACGTTTCGATAAGTTGCATCTGTAATTTATGTTGGAATACTTTATGACTTTTACATTGTTTTGGCGCACTTCAAAGGTGAAACATCTGCAAGTAGCTTCAAATGACATAAAAGTGTCAATAATGTCGAACAAAAAAAAGTTTATTTCTCCTGAAAGTAGTAAAATATCGGAAACCTTTTCAAAAAAAAAATCCAATAATTTTCGAGCCGTTGGCAGCTCAAAATCTCAAATATTTTAATGGGTTCTTAAAAACGATGGTTGCTTTGTATTCAAAACGTCACCTTAGTTTCATTGCGTAAATTGACCTGAAATCGAACGATATTAAAAAATATTACTAACAATTAAGAATTGATTCTGTGGACAAAAAAACACACCCAAAAAATGTTGCCATTCGGATTCTTCTGAACAAACGCTCGATTTTGCGTTATCGAAATGAACAATGCGATTGACAGAGACAAATAAAAGCAACGACAAAAGTTAATCGATTTAATCGGAGGGTTCTGATGCGTTACTTTTATGTTTTATTCTCTCTTCTTTTTTTTTCTCAATAAAAACCAATTCGGGCCGTAATTTTTTAAATGACATTTTGATATTTCAGCTTCTATTCAGTGGGATTTCATTGAGAAATTTTGCTCTGAATGGACGGATCAAAGGCTGATTTCTCCGGTTTTCAATCATTTCACGACCTTCATTATTATGATTTCAAATTCATAATAATATTTCGAAAAAATCTGTTGAGTGGTTTACGATTCAAGCCGAAGATTACGTAAACTACTAACATTAGCAATTAAACGAAGTGTCAGAAGCCGGTGATTTAGCCGGTATGCATCCCGTCTCTCGGGATTTGTCATCGTTTTTGAAATAGCTTGCCATTTTATTGGCCATAAAAAATTGGATAGAGAGAGAAAAAAAATGCGGAAATATAAAAATCGGCAACGCACAAAATGGAAATCGATAAACCAAAGCGTTTTGAGGTGGAGATATGTATTTTTCGATTCATTGAGCATTCAAACAGGTTGTGAAGCCGCACATATCACACAATATACAATGGCCAATAATCTCAATTCAATGCATTGTTGTCATTTGAATTGGTTGCAATTTTCAAAAAGACCTGATTTAAAGTGGCCATACTTCGTGCAATGTCCAGTTTTTCCATTTTATTTTCTCTCTCTCTCTCTCTCTCTCTCTCTCTCTCTCTCCATCGATTTGTTGAATGAATGATCAGAACTTATCGATTTCGAGTATGCTTTATACGAGACGACGCGTCAGAGTCTATATATAAAAGAATAAGAACAGTGTTCATTGTTTGCGTGTTAAACGGTTCACTTTTAAAATTTCTCTATTGTTTTGTTTTCGATTTAAATACTCATAGAAGTTTGTGTGTTGTACAAAGCAAAAGAAAGAACAATAAGGTGATGTGTGCACAAACTGAGCATTTGCACATCTTCCACTTGGTTCTGCTTATATTCCAATTACAAACCAGGCCATCGTTTGAACAATATAAAAGATGGAACTAATGTGTAACGGTTTATCGATTTCATTGCTGCAGCACATTAACCGGAATTGTTTTCATTTCCCGTGGAAAATATGCTGTAAAGTGTCGGCAAAGTATCAAACGAAGATTCAAGGAAATGCTTCAATAACAACGACATTCCCCGAATATTGAGCCAAATCCAATTGCTTCTAGATAAAAAAAAAGAAAAAAAAAGCAAATAAATCCATAAACACTCATTCAAAACTATCAATTACTGATTCTTTTCATTGTGAATTGGCCAAGGCCTGTTCACTGGGGTTCAAAATATAAAAGCCATACAAATGTTCAGGTTGAATGGACTTTAACGTGCAGACAGACGACGAAATTTCCATTCATTTTCAATCCCGGCAGCAATCAAAATATACAGCAATCGATTATTGTTCCATTTCATACCAACATACAGCAACATCAATTGGCAGCAATATGCATTAATAAACCGTCGATGATGAAATTGTTGTTGGTCGATGCGATTGTTGAAGTCTACCATCGGCAAATATAGTATCCATCGGTATGTTTTTTTCCTATCTCAACTCTTCAACCCACTGTGCGGCCATTTGTATACTATCATAGGCCACTTTTTGACGCACGCGTACTTGGCCGACCCATTCGGTCAAAGCGATACATAAAAAAAGTATACTATCACGACCAGACACTCCACGAGAAAATAAAACCACCGAGATGCCGAATAAGAGACACACGATGTTTCAACTACGACAAACACAACGCGTGTGCTACGTTCGCAACCCAACGGATGTGTGCTGCTGCTGCTGCTGCTGTTTTTTTGCACAAGACATAACGAGCAAGCGCTCCAACACTGACACACTTCAATGGATGGCGAGATTACACACAGCTCCACGAGATGTGTGACAGTAGCCGCTTTCAATGTATAAAATACGTTGGTATGTCCCATGCTGATTTCATACAAAATGGATCCAACGACATTTTTAGCCGAGAAAAATCGAATGATTAACATGATTGGCAGCATTTAATTCGCATATTTTTGGCGAATTTGAAAGTTTAATTTCAGAAATACACTCCTTTGTTTTCGCATCCAACGTTCGGAACTGAAGTACAAAACAGTGTGCATTCGAGGTCAAGCGATTGCTATCTCCTCACAATTTGCTTATTAACTCAATAATTTGATGCGATTCGATACGGTTGCTTTGATAACAAAGCACTGCGTCAGCACTGCACGCATGCAACGGGACAATGTAGAATGATGTACGACTTGATTTCGATTCAAATTAGTTCCCATTATTTATGTTTATATGCATTTGCTCTCCCATTAAATGTGATTACAAATATATGCGAGGGGAACCAATGCCTAGCTCGGCCAATCGGTGAACTCGACCATTTCTTCACGGAATCGTTTGCTTTAATCAAATTAACAGCAGTAAAGGAGCTAACAATATCATAAAATATTACATTTGATCACAACTTAACGGAGAGCATTTTGTCGGTGTGTGTGTGTGTAAAACAAATTTGATGATTATTGCAGCGGTAATGAGCAAGCTTCAGGCACTGAAACACACCACATTCAATGCATTGAATCCTTCCCAATTTTCAATAATGCTTTCGTATTAATCGTTTTTATCACGATATTGAACCATTTCGCCCGACTGGTGTTGTCTACAAATGTGTTGGGTATAACAAAAAGTATACGTAGCGTGTCAACCACATATTGATGGCCGATTTGATAATGATTTTTGTATGATTTCCAGAAAAAACGACATCGAAAATCTTGATTCCACATTTCAGACCTTTCTTTGTATGAAACCACTATTGCATCTCCTGAACGCCATCTCGTCGATTCTATTTGAAGCTCAACAAAAGTTGATATTGTGCTTCTCGTATCTGGTATCGTTATCGATACTCTGAGTAGACACAGTCGGAGTGACTTCATATTGAAGCTGCATGTATGAATAACATTGAAAATAACAAAATCCAATAACGATCTATTAATGTAAATGTTTTGAAGATTCGAATTCTAAACATTTCGAAAGTGAAAACATATTAATTGTCTAGGAATGTCCAAATTTTGAGTTGTTATGCTTTTTTTCGTTTGGAAAATCAAATTGGAATCGTTTGTACTTTTTGGAAAAAGCTCGAGCACTTAGTGCGTGATTCACTTATTCAACTCATCGTTAGATGGAGTCGCTCCAGTGTCAGTTCGTTTTGAAATAAAATTTCAGGTTTGAATTATATCACCTATATAGAGTTGAGTTTCATGATAATTGTTTTAGTCGTATCTGGAATTTGGTTCGATGCATAATAGAAGAAAAGAGCGCGAACGGAAGATAGATCGGATTACGTTGAAAATAAACTATCGTTAAGTGTGACAAAATTGTGAGTTGTAACTTGGTTGTGTTTTATTTAAAAAAAACAAAAGGTCTCTGACATGAGACAGTGCTATTGTGATTTGAATTTGAGTAAATTCAATAATGACAATTTTAAATAATAATAATAATTTACTTCGAGTGATTTACTTATCTCTTCTTCTCTCTAAATTCAATTCCATCACGGTTACTTCAATACAGTTGCCTCAGCCGCTTATTGCTTTTATAATATTTTGAGTAATTTGAGTTGAGCGCTACAAATTGGTTTTCATCAACAACAACAAAAACGGTCGTGAGGAACAGTTTGAAAAAGAAAAAAGAATTTGCTCTTGAAGAAAGAAAGAAACTTTCTTTGAATAAGAAGGCCAAAAATAGCCATGTCCAGAGTCCACGCATAAGTTCAAAAGATTTGACGCGTAAACAAAGAGATAAACATTTCAGTTCATTTGTATAAAAATGTGATATCTTCTGGAATATGTTACCATAGCTGTCTTAGACAGCCTGTCTATATATATATGTTATCATGTCTTTCTAAGAAAAAGAAACGTGTTTATCCAATCTTTCCTTTCGTTATATTGTCAACATATAAATCAAAATTCAAGAGCGATATTTCTTGTTAATCAAGGTGTTATCAATGTGAACAAAGTTGCGTGCCAACAAAAAAGTGGGATAAACTAGTTTTACCATATATGGTGATAAGATGCCGAAACGTGCATTTTCGGAAAATTAACCCTAGAACCATGGTTGGGGCATTCTGCGCCCCAAACAAATTTCAATCTTGAATTAAAAAATTTCTTCACATGAAACATCACCAAAATTGATTTCTTTCGTTTGTAAGGCCATTGAATCTAGCTAAAAAAAACTATGCACACATTATTTCATGGTGTAGTTTTCGAGATATTGAGCATGAAAGACCAAAACCACTATACGTGTTTGGGGCATTCTGTGCCCCACACATTTTTCATACATTTTCTATGAAAACGCAATTTGCCAACGTTTCTAATATTTTACATGTAAACACAATTAATGAAAAAAATGCAAGAGAATGAAAAAATGGAGATTTTCTGTTTATTGGGTATGCACGGTTCACTGTTCACCGTATTCGCACATTTACGTACATATCATCGATTTCGGTGTTTCTGAATTTGTATTGCGTTCTCTTTCGAATGGACAGAAATGACAGGGAAAAAAACTGATTGGTGCACAATGGAATCCGCTACATGGCACGATGAAGCCCTGCCGTATTGCTGCTTTATAGTGATGTATGCATGCATACACACATACGTATGTGTGTCGACTCCGATCAAATGAGCTAGTAGTTATAAAGAGCACGCTTAGTCGGTTGCTTTTTGTGTAGCGGATTTTATTGTGTATCGTTGTGATATACACATACATAAAAACACATTTTGCAAATTTGACATCTCCGTTACACAGCCGGTCTCTTTTGAGACTTTGTATTCAGTTGGCTTTAGATTCATAAATTGAACGTATTTGTGCGATTTGGATTTTATTTTTCATTCAGTTTTTGATCATTTTTTGTAGAAAACTTTCTTCGAAAAATATGTCTCGTTATACTTGTAATGTTGATTTTTTTCGTGATTTGAGTGAAGAAGAAAAGTTGATTCAGTTATAAATCTTTAGTATTTTTTATTGATTGGATTTGCTTTGCATGAAATTTCATGGTTATGACACACATTTATATTTTCTTGAATCGACAAAACAAAACCGTTCAATTGAACTCAATGAATATTACTTTCGAACATAAAAATAAGCATTTTCATCGAAGTCAACATATAGAGAGATAGAGATATACATGCTTAGATTAAATTTCATACATTGTTGCTGAGTTAAAATAAATATGGTTACTACGTGAGTCTAACTTTCCACAATTTCAATCGTTTTTTCCTTTATTCAATTTTATTTGGCTGTAAATATGTTTATTTACATACAATTTTTTGTATGGGGCACATAATGCCCCAAACAGAAATCCATCATTTTGGCATTTTTTTTTTATTCAACGAATATCCTCAAATTTTGTCAGCAAGGCACAGGAAATATGAATACAGCCTCACTGAACACAAATATACCCGTGCTGACAAAATCAGAACGGTAGATTTTGAAATAATTGAAAAAATGTGATGTTTTTTTGAGAAAAAATGAACTTTTCATATAAAATACACGTGGGGCACAGAATGCCCCAAACCATGGGATTAAGTTGAAATGACCAACCATGATTCTAGGGTTAAAGTAAACATATGACTCCATCAAGTCTCTATCATATATTACGATAACGTGCGAGTCAACATTCAAATAAACGAAATTTCATTTTCAAAAGACAAAAAGAAAAGAAAAACATTTTACATTAACATTTCTTTTCGTATACATATGAACCCATAGAAAGAAAGAACAACTTATAAACTCTTTATCCATAACTGGGACAGAAAAAATTTAGAGAAAAAAGAGACAAATAAAGTTGCGAGCAAAAGTGACACAACTCAGCATTGATCGGAAAAGAAGTTTATTTTGCATTTTTCTCGCTACTGGAAATAGATAACGATTTGGTATCTTCGACATTATTGTAGAAAATGAAAAGAACTACAAATAAGCAGAAGACACCTAGTCGCTGTCTCTTTCCAGTAGCGAGAAAAATGCAAAAAAACTTCTTTTCCGTGCAATGCTGAGTTGTGTCATTTTTGCTCGCAACTTCTTTTGTCCCTTTTTTTCTCTAAGTTTTTTTTCCGTCTCAGTTATAGATAAAGAGCTCATAGTTGAGAGTTGTTCTTTCATTCTATGGGTGTCATATCTTTTCAACTTGACAAATAAAATGTGAAACCCACTGTGATACACAAACTAAGATCTTCTTAGAATAAACAATACACTTCAAATACGTGTTGATTATGTTTATACACCGGACGGTGCACTGAACTGACACACTCAATGTCTATGCTCAGCACAAATCCAAAGCACATTATACACATTTGTAGTGTAGTATAGTCGTTAGTCATATTGAATGCTCACCGAAAATAAGAATGAAACGCGAAAGTTGGCATATTAAAATTAATTAAAACAGAATCAAATTCAAGTTGTTGCGAAACAAGAACCTGGTTGTGTTTTAATTTGAAAAAAACTGTGTTGATTTCTTTGATACTTTCATGACCATTTCAAGATCTTAATTGCTTTCAAAACCGGCGCCCGATGTTTTAATGGAAACTGAAATCACAGACAAAGCTATAAAAATAAAATGAAATGTCTGGTTTAAACTCTTGTTGTATATTCGAAGGAATTTTGTATAAGTTCATCTGATTTTCGTATGAATTCCAGGAATACATGATAATTTGTTGTATTATTACGTATTTTATACCAAATGGCCCAATGTTTAATGGTCGTAACCAAATCGATGTGACGTATCATGGATATTAACCTAAAGAGAACTTCTCTGCCTCTTTTTGTTCAGCTATTTAGTGGGATGAAAGGTGGCGTTCAGCTGATACGAAACACAATAAGTGTGTGGATAATTGTTTTGATTGTGTTGACTTGTATTAATTGGAGTACTGCGCTCAAAACGTTGCCATGTGATTTTTTCGATTCAAACAATATCACCAGCGGCATACGACAGTCGGATGATAGTATCTTTTTTGATGGCGTCATCTATCCCGAAGATCAATATGCAACCGTAGATTACGTATTGAACAAAGGTCGAAGCACCGATGCTAAACCACATATTCGTGGGTGTATTTGTAACATTCAATCATGTCTTCGACTTTGCTGTCCACTTGGATCGATACATAATATGGAGAATGGAACCATGGTGTGTCGTGAACATGAAGCGGCCAAGAATTTTGAAGGCGAAGTCCTGCATGCAAATAACGAAACCGATGTTGTAACTTTGGACGATCACTTTGCGTATGTCCATGGTCATCCGTGCAAAAAAATGTATATGGAAGACGACTATCAAATAGTACACGTAAGGAAAAGGAAAATTGAATTCTTTTTTTAAGCCACTTTTTGACATAATTGCACATACTCGTTCCAGAACGGAGACATTTTGATTAACAATGATACTTTATCAAGTCAAAAATATTGTTTTCACGGCAAGTACAATAAGGCAACAGATAAAGTTGATTTGAAATTACTCATTTGTTTGGAAGTGCCCGAATCGCATCCTCGATATGCTATTTTAGCTACCTGTATGTATATACCCAATCGATTCACCAATCATTCCATTTAAATCATTTAAATTAATTTTCAATCAGGTATGTTGATATCGGTGCTATTTATCATCGCCACATTATTGGTCTACGCATTTGTGCCGAAATTGCAAAATTTACAAGGAAAATGTCTGATTTGCTACTTAATTTGTCTGGCAATTGGCTACACATTAATGGCTTACATACAGCTCAATGGTTTCAATTATGTTCAACCACATATTTGTCATCCGATTGGATTCACAATGCTATTTGGATTCCTTTCAGCTTTCTGCTGGTTGAATGTGTTGAATTTTGACTTTTGGCTAAATTTCCAGTGAGTAAATTACAAATTAAGAGAAATTTTGATTTAATTGTTATTTTACAAATGAAAAATATTTAAAAACAATGTTTTTGATTCATGAAAACAATAACTTCACCCACAGATCTAATATTCGATTCAAACAATTTAATGAGAGAAAACAATTCGGGATATATGCCTTATATGGATTTGGGATTCCGTTTCTTCTAACCTTTTTAGTGTTTGTTCTTGACAATATCAAAACATTGCCTTTGATACTGCGACCAGGAATCGGAGATCGAAACTGTTTCCTAACAAGTAAGAACGAAAGAAATCATTTAAACTTCGCAAGATTGAGCAATTTACTTTAATTAAATCATTTCAGATATATTTTGGTATTTCTACGTACCGATCGGTATCTTTTTCATCATTAATATTGTATTCTTCGTGTTGATCGCATTACAAATTCGGCAGCTACAACGAGAACTGGCCATAAGAAGATCACAAGAAGGTACACCACAAAGGCAGAGATCATTACAAAACAAGAGAGAAAAGTAAGTGAATGAAGATAACGTTTGATCATTTCAACTTGAGTAAATATTTTTTATCTTTCGATTTTCAGGTTCACTCTTTTCTTGCGACTCTTTTTTGTCATGGGTATTAGTTGGTGCATGGAAGTCGTATCGTATTTGATCGATTCCAACAGTCCGTATTTCCTGCTCACCGACATTTGCAACACTCTGCAAGGAGTATTCATTTTCATTCTGTTCGTTTGTAACCGTCGAGTGCTTAGATTTATCAAGGAAAGGTTCGTGCACGAATGCAATCATGATTGTTACGACCGTATCCACTTCTGATTTGATTGAAATTGAATTATCATCATTTCTATTGATCTTTTTCAGATGGTTGAGCTTGCGTAACCAATCTGTTCCGAATGAAGAGAACGCATCGAATAGTGCCTCAGCCAGTTATGTGCGACTTAATCAAATGACATCAGTAAAGTAGTGAATGAACATGGGATTAGAATTTATCAAGATATTGTTTATAGAGATCTATGAAGATTTATGAGATCTTTTTAGTGTGATACGATCGATAGAACGAAAAGAGACACCTTTTCGATTAATCTCTCTAGAGATTAACGAGATAGAGATCTGTTTTCAAATACGTTTAATTTGAATATTTAAATCATATTCCAATAAGCGCTGCAAATAACATGAATATTCAAAAGTGCAATCTCATCGCTCCAATATGTTAATCGCTGATTCGACGTCATGTCACGATGTGTCGTGACATCATTTCGTTCTAGTGTTATTTATTTATACGTGTAAAATTAGTTTTACCTGCAAAAAACCAACGACAAATTCAGTTGTTTAATTTATAAAAGTGTTTATTTTTGATAATTAGAAATAATAATTGTACCCATATGTTTTCTGTGCGGTGGAACGAAGCCCGCCGCGTTGCACAGGCGAGATATTGCACACAGCATT